GACCCCTATTTCTTAATTAATTATTGAGATATAGCACTCTGGAACTAAAATTTAGGGTTAGGGTATGGGTTTTGGAACCTATATAAAAGCTTTATATAACTAGATAGCTGCGCGACCCATCGCGCAAAACCAGAAACGGAAGAACTAAGCAGAGGACAGAATCAATGCATCTGATACTATAAATTTGCGCATAATTATCATGCATTCCAGCGCTAATTGCGCTGGATATTCAACCTTTATTAGAGAGTTATAGTATACATTATACATCAGTACGTTTGATATATAATTGAAAGAGATACATAGCATATATCGGTGCGATTGATGTATAATTGGAATTAGCTGGTGGTTTCCCACTCGCATAAATGCAAGACAGCTGTTAGTTAGAAGTTTTGTAGTCACATGATTTTAGTCGGTGGTTTCCCGCCTGCATAATGCAGACCGGCTGTAAAGAGGTGTTTAAGCTGCCACAAAATGGCAGGATTCTACTGAGGGAGGGTAGGGTAGGGTGTGAAATTGATTTGCATTTTGAAGGGGCTGCTGTCGTGCTGCTCTGCCGCCCTTCTGTTTTATATCTGTATGTTATTGTCACATGTTCCCTGCTAAATTTGGATATATTAGTATTCGTGTCATAACGATAAGCTCCTAAAGTAATTTCATTAAATTTATACTTATCTTTCCCTTACATATACCGGATTCTCTTGTTGGAGCCGGATCACTCATGTGATCGTCGTTTGCTAATGCATCACTGCTTAGCAGTCTTTTCTATCTGTTGACCTACTGTCAGCTGAAAGAAGGCAGCAGTCATGTGAGTTTTAGCAATCATTGCTGTAACATGAAAACAATCATTACAGTAAATACAGTAAATAAAATAAAACAATTATCTAATAGCTCTTTACAGTTAGTGTTAGGATAAGAAAGTTTGTATTCTAAAATCATTCTAACAGCTCTTTATGGTTAGTAGAGTTCCAATTCGGGTAACTCCATTGTCCATATCTGAATCATTCGGATAACCGATTCAGATAATCCGAAAGGTATTCGGATAATTATCAGGATAATCCAAAAGGTATTAGATAATTATCCGATATAAATAGTAAATGGTTAACAGAATAAATTCAGATCCAAATATCTGATAATTATTGGTTATACACTTAACAAATTGAACCTCTTTACTATTAATATTAAGATATGAAAGTTCGTATTATAAAATTATTCCAACGGCTCTTTATAGTTAATGTTAGGATGAGAAAGTTCGTATTACTATTCTAACAACAGGAGGAAACAATGATTGTACACAACTAATCCCTCACCCGGTATACAACATATAAAAAATCATTTCACAATACCAGATCATTCCGTTAGTGCATATTATGATTATAATCCAACAACATTTTATTATAATAAACCAGGTGTTGTGTTATAATTATAACATGTACTAGCAGGGTGATCTGATATTGCAAAATAATTTTTTTATATGTTGCACACCAGGTGATGGTTCAGTGTTTCCTCCTTTTTATTCTAATAGCTCCTTATGATTATTGTTGGGATGAAAAATTATTATTCTAGCAGTTTTTTATAGTTAGCGCTAGGATCAGAAAGTTCGTATTATAAAATTAGTTTAATAGCCTTTTATGATTAGTGTTAGGATGAGAAAGTTTGTATTATAAAATCATTTTAACAGCTCTGATAGTAGATCACATGGTCAAAAAACGAAGTATCAGCGCCACCACGTGCCACACACTGAATCTCAGGCAGTGCTAGCCTAAGTAAGGAAAGTAATTGAAGGTTGAAAATCATATGAAGACACATAATGACATATGTTAGCTATGCACATGGGACCGGGTAACCAAAGATGCAAAACACATTTACAGCTGTTCTCGCATATTTTGGGACAAACTAAAAATTTGTCATTTCCCGAAATCTATTTGGTTTCATTCTAAAGGTCACCTAACTCTTCAGAATCACATCATTGTCTTTGGAACTTCAGCCCAGAGATAGCGACGTATTTTTCGGACAGTTAGATGATTCATAAGACGAAACGGAAGAGATTTCGGAAACAAGCAAATTTCAATTTGTCCTATAATTTATGAGAACAGCTGTAAGCCAAGAAACAGAGTACGGATCTGGTGATGCTTAAACCCGAATGATCAACCCACCCCCCACCTAGAAAGGATGACTACATGATTCTACTATCTCTCTAACTGCACATATTTAATTTCTCAACCAATACTATACTCACAGCCAGCTTGCTTTAGCGAGCGGCTAATCAATCCTACGGTGACTTCCAGTGCCGTTCTGACCAATCTCAGTCAATCACTCACTTTATGATCATGTACTAATCACCACTTACAGCTGTTTTCATAATTTCTTGGACACTCTAAAAAAATTTGCTGAAGTCTACTCAGCCAAATTCAATAAGCCATTTATCCTGGTACTATATAAATGCACAATACATATTAGAAGTCTTAAGTTAGAGTAATTGCTGAACGTTTGGGTATTAACAGGTCTTCTGTGGGTCGAGTTCTCAACCAATTTTAAAGGTATGACTGTGTTAATGAATTACCATCACTTTAAATAAACTTTATAATACTTTGAACTTTATTATAATTATTAAGACATTGTCGACAAATAATAATAATATTTTGATCTCTGATTTCAACTTGTGTTGCATTTTTTACAACCCCTAATCGTATTTAAACTTTTTTTGCCTACTCATATAATATGGAGCGTTATATATTAAAAAGACAAATTTTTATTTTTGTATAGATACAGTATATTTTAATAAACAAGTTTGCTATACTATAAAATAATTATATAATAAAAAGATTCACAAAATGAACTTAAAGTTTATATGTTTATTAAGAAAGTCCAACTTATAGTCAAAACCTTTTTTAGTGAAGATCTATTAATTGGCAAGAACAGTTTTTGGTATAAATTTTTGTATATATCATATTGGATAAGGCAAAAAAAAATTTTAATAAATTGTTGAAATAGTGAATATAATACTGTAATATAATATTAATTGAACAATGTGCTGTAATAATAGTAACTCAATAATTTTTTTATATACTGATCATGCACTAATCATACCGAAATCAATAACTTATTGAATTTGGCTGAATAGACTTTGGCAAATTTTTTTAGGGTGTTCTAGAGCTTATAAAAACAACTGTAATTTCTTTAATAAAATCATCACCGGCCTAAATAATTTGTTGCATAGTCCAACAATAAAGTGTAATTCAATGCTTTTTGAAATTTTTATTCGCAACCTCACATTATAATGAAATATAATCCGAATTAGATAGAATATTTTAATCAATCAGCTTCCATCAACAGAACTTCCAATCATGCATATACACACAAAGATTTAGCATGTATGTACATATAAATATGCGTTAAAAACAAGATCATCTTTTAACAGCATACAATGTAATGTTTGATATGTGAAGGATAAGCAACATGTTACATTTAAGATCACGTGGACCAATCAGATCTAAGATTTTGAGAAACAACATCATTTCGGTCGTTGTATAAGGGGTGTGCTGTTTATTATGTAATTTTTTAGGGGGGGAGGGTGGCAAAGATTTATCACGTCTATATTAGCCTCAATATTTGATTGGCTCTTTAACATGTGATATTGCAATTATAAGATCATCAAGAATTGTATGTACATACGTACGTATATACATACTACTAGATACTATATCAGATATATACTTTCAATATAGTAGTACAGTCAGGGAATATTCCAAAAATGGATATTGTAGATCACACCTTTTATAGTATAAGAGTGTCAATCAGAAGATTCCAGATTTTGTAGTATATGAGCATTAACCAATCAAATTAATCAAGAAGTTCAATATATAAAAGAGATATATGAATAAGTAGCAAAGCTTTATTTTATACTAAATCTTTTAAATAGTAATTATCTTTTGCTTTTAACTATCATTACCTTTCAAAAGTACATTATTGTATTTGGTTCATACTATCAACCAGCACTACCTGTATACATTATTAAACAATATCACCTGATATTTATTTGCCATTTAAATCTATTTCTATACTTTATCTTGATTGTTTTTTTTTATAAATAACTTAATAACACCTACGTAGTTATAAATAAATTAAAATTTTAAAGTTACTATAGTGTAAATAAAGCTTTTAAGATGTTTTTAAATATATACAAATTTTAAAAATAATCTTATATTAACTGTTAACTAATAACAAGTTTTAATATTTTGTTAAAATGAATACCTTTTTTTTAGCTTCTCATTTACTTTAGCAAAGAAGATTAATTGCCACTGATTAATTTTGATTATTAAAACTAGACATCTTGAACTATATGTTCAAAGCTTTCCAGGTCTCAATAATTATCAAAAAATTTTTTTCCACAATGTATGACATTTGAATGATAAAAGACACGTGAAAGCCAATCAAATTCAAGAATCTACCTGTAGATCGTTCTAGAATGTGATTTCTTAATTTGGAATATCCCCTGACTGTAGTATGTTTGAGATCTCAATTTTTTTTTTCTTATTTCGAAACTCTAGTATGTATGTAATAAATTTATTTGATCGTGTTAATCAAGTTAATTACATTTAAATAAAAAGTATTTTATTAACGTATGCCAAAACATAACAAGATTAATGGTTTATTTGTGAGTTGAATCATTTATTATCAAAAAAAGAGATATTATTCTTATTTCTAAACTTTATTTTTTTTTATAATGCGCATACTGATCATTTTATTTCTTTTTGTCTTATTTATATGATATGTTTTAGTTGCAGAATAAGGAATAAAGAAGAGAATTAAGTATAATAGGGGGTTTCAAAGTTAACAATAAGTGACGCATTTCAAAAATAAATAGAATTTTTTCAATAGTATTTTTTACTATGTTGAATTATAAATCGGAAAAATAAAATGAGAATCTCTGATTTTAACTTTGAAACCCCCTAATAAAATAATGAATTAAATCAATATTAGACGATTAACTACTTACAATTTTATTTGGTATCAGAAAGTGCCTCCAGTAAATTAGAAGGGTCGAATTTATGTGAAAGACCAATAGAAGATAAAATGGTGAAGTCTTCCAAAATAGCTACATTACTTAATTCAATTTTTTGGGCATTAAGAGAATCTAATAATGCATTAACTTCTTCTGCAGACAAATATGTCACTGTAGAGCTTGAAAGAAAAATTAGATGAGTATCAGTTGTAGATTTAATGGAAGGTTGTGCAAAGATCTGATTTGTATTTTTTTTGTATGCTTTTTTAGGATGATTTGCCTTTTTATAGTTTGTAATCATTTTCATAGTAGGAAAGTATTTGTTGCACACATTGCAACAAAGCCTTTCATACTGCTGTGACAAAATTGAAGGGCATATTTTATCATAATTGGGTAACTTCATTTTATCTATATATTGCAAAATATGAATTGGATTTAAATAATGATTATCTTTTCCTTAAACCAATAGCAGAAGAAATCTATTATTCTCTCTTAACAGATTAAATGCCTCTTTTGCATAGATTTTATTATAACAATTTTGGTTAGAGCACTTTCGTATATCAAGGGAGTAATGGCAAATTTGTGTATGACTTTCTATCCACAACCATGATGGAATTTCTTTTCCATTGTTTTGAAATAGGTCTTCATTGTAGTCGACATAATCAACATATACTTGCTTTCCATGAATTTTATCATGCTTCCAAATTTCACATAGACACTTACCAGCAACTTCAAAGTTATGCCTTGCCAAATCCTCATCTATAACTACTCCTTGACTATTAAGATGTGATCCAAATATATCAACTGGTAATTCAATTCTGGCAAGCTTTTCAGAAAGCATACACATACTACGCTTAACTGGGTTATACACAGACTGGTAAGGAGCATGTATTCGAATTGATAAATAGTCTAAATTAAGCTCACGAAAAAAGTGACAATATTCAATTATATTTTTTAAATGTTTAGGATTTTTGTCAGGTACACCATCTACCAACAAAATCCATATAGGCTTAAGATGTTCATCATGTTTTAGTATTTTTGCATACTCATTATGCTTTGAAATATTAAGTAAGTCTTTCATATATATTATTAAAGAAGTTCCTGTAAAATATTCAGGATGAATATAAATAGATAATTGATCTTGATACAAAGATTTATTAGTATCTTTAGGATTAATAATTAGATAAACTGAAGGTATAAGTTTTTGTTTTGCATCATGGGGGAAATCATGGTCAGAAACAGTAACAGGTTCATTAAACGATTGTATACTTTGAAATGTTCTACCAACCGCTAGTATACCTAAGCCAACTTTAGCCTTATTATCTTGTGAGATAATAAGGCTAAAGTTGGCAAAAGTTGAAGCAAACACTCTAACTGATTTGACTGATGCAAAACAAAAGTATTCGTCTATATGCGATTTCATCTCAGACCTAGAAACTGCACTAGTTTTGATATTTGCAAGATAGCGGTGATGAAGTGCATTATGTGTATTGGCATGTCAAGGCAAAAGATAAGTTGAAAGTGTTTGCCGAGTAATATAAATATTATATTTTTCTTGTAATGCCTTTTTTAAATGCTTAATAGTTTGAACCTTAATTACAGTTTTTCTTCTTTTTTTATCAGCTGCACCAAATTCAACGTATTCATGTATTTGGTCAAATAAGTCTAGATTTTTTTGAAGTTCAGATAGATGTCCTCTAGTATCATATATTTTAACAATCTCATTTTCAATTTGTTTTTTTCTTTTTTCCTAAAATCTTCTCTGAGCTGCAGCATGACTTTGAAGCAAATTAAAATGCTTTTTTTTTGTGCAATGGTTTCACAAACATCTTTCAATTTTTTACTGATTTGAAGTCAAAGATCTTTGTCACTAGTATAAATCATTAGGGTTTCACATTCACTTATTTTAGATTTTGCCTCTTGAATTAATTCCAAAGCTTGATATTGAGCTGATGCATTAGGTGCAATAGTAGGCATTTCGTTAAATGAAGAAGGTAGAGTAGAATTGGTTTCGGAATTAATATTAGAATTTGAATTTAACGATCTTGAACTAGGTAAATTCAGAGGGAGGAAAAAGTTTGCTGTTCAAATAATTGGTAGACTTGCTGCAAGATATTTGTTAATTAGTTTTCTAATTTCTATCTCAGGTTCTTTTCGATATTTTTACCATTCTTTATTTGCTGTGTCCATTAAATTCTGCCATTTAATATTCGAATCACAAGCTTTAACCATCATAAAATAGGCGAAGACATTGCAGAATTCATGGTACAAGATTTTAGTAGTAGCATATAGATGAGTTTTTGGAAACTTAGGCACAGAAAGAAAACTTTGACTCATTTTGAGCAATGGCACTTTAAAACTAAAAATAAGGAAAAGCTATATACTATTGGGTTATTAATCTGAATTCAGGATGTTTTTACTAATTTTTTTTTTTTTATAAACTCTATCGCCTTCAATCTTATCTATTTTATAAGATCTCTAGTTTAATAAAGCTGAGCTTAGTAATAAGAAGCAATTCATTTAGTTTTATATTTCTTTCGCATTAATTGGATTTTTTTCATCGGATTTTTTTTTTTTGCTTCTTTTTCGTGTGAATTTGAAGATTTATTCGAATTTACTTTTAGATTTTTGCTAAGCCTTTCAATAGCTTTGACTATTTTGGTATCGCTGCTTTGCTTTATATAAGTGACTATGAATTGCATTACTTGACTTTTAGGGTTGGTAGCTTCGGAACATATTGACTTTAGAATTATGAGACAAAGTCATATACTATTATGCGAAATTAGCATATAGGCACTAAAATATGGCTTTTCACAGTACATTCTAGTCAATGGGACTTTTATATCAAAAGGCAAATTTCTATTTTATTTGTCTAAGCTACTTTTATTCTACGATTCATGAAACTTTGATTTTATTATTGAGGTAATGTTAATCTTTTCTTTATTTGCATTATTGCATTACTAAAATCTAACTTCCCTATTAATTTAATCTATCTATTTCGAGTTAAATTTTACCAGTTCGGATCGTATATATAAATATTCTCAAATTTGACTTGACTTTACAAGTATTAATATTTGGCCTTATAAATTTGTACATAAAGGCCCGATTATTGTGAGATGCAATCACTCTAATTGAATCCCAAAAAGGATAAATTAGTGTTGTTATGTAGATTGGTTTTAATTCATGGTTGTGAATTAAAAAATTCTGAATAATACTTTAATTATATAATCATGTTAATGTATTTCATCGAATTTTAAAAATTGCACAATATTCGAATTCGATTAATTTTTTTTAACTTCTTGGGGTAATTTTAATTTTGGATAAATTTTGCAATTTAATTGGCCAATGGTCATATGATTGAACACGGTTTTAGACGATTTTAAAAATATAGTATCACGTAGGGGGAGGGAGTACTGCCATATAGTAAAGAAAAATTACGTAATAAACGGCACACCCCTAACCATATACTACGTGATATTCATCACTCCGTTCCTGGTATAGTTTAATTTTTAGGTTACATGAGGTTTTGGGGGTGCTCTGAGCATTTTTACTTAGTATAGCTGACCCTATTTCTTAATTAGTTATTGATATATAGCACCCTGGATATGAATATCCCCCGGTATGAATTAAATTTGATCAATTTTAATTATTTATTATATTGTAATATTTTAATATTCGGACTATTCGATTTTATGATAAAGTTAATTTTATTATATGAAATATCCAAAGAAGTTAGGGAGGTGTTCTTGTAAAGTGCATCTCCTAATGCTTTTCCTCCTTCTGATCCAAGTTCATTCGATTTAAGATTTAAAGAAGTCAGTGCAGAGTTCTTACAAAGTGCACCTGCTAATGCTTTTCCTCCTTCTGATCCAAGTTTATTCGATTCAAGATTCAAAGAAGTCAGCGTGGAGTTCTTGCAAAGTGCACCTGCTAATGCTTTTCCTCCTTTTCCAAGTTTATTCGATTCAAGATTCAAAGAAGTCAGTGTGGAGTTCTTGCAAAGTGCATTTGCTAATGCTTTTCCTCCTTCTGATCCAAGATTATTATATTGAAGATTCAAATCTTTCAGCGTGGAGTTCTTGCAAAGTGCATCTGCTAATGCTTTTCCTCCTTCTGATCCAAGATTATTACAAGCTAGATCTAACATAGTTAAGGAGGTGTTCTTGCGAAGTGCATCTGCTAATGCTTTACCTTCTTCTGATCCAAGTACATTCCCATAAAGTTTCAAAGAAGTCAGCGTGGAGTTCTTGCAGAGTGCACCTGCTAATGCTTTTCCTCCTTCTGAACCAAGTTCATTCAATTTAAGATCCAAATCTTTTAGCGTGGAGTTCTTGCAAAGTGCATCTGCTAATGCTTTTCCTACAGACCGCTTGAAAAAACTGGTTATAAAGCTAATGGACCTAAAACCATTAGAGCCAATATCCAGGGAAGTTAGCGTAGAGTTCTTGCAAAGTGCATCTGCTATTGCCTTTCCTCCTTCTGATCCAATATAACTATTATAAAGATTCAAAGAAGTCAGGGTGGAGTTATTGTAAAGTGCATCTGCTATTTTTTTTCCTCCTTCTGATCCAAGATTATTATATTGAAGATTCAAATCTTTCAGCGTGGAGTTTTTGCAAAGTACTTTTACTAACTCGTTTATTTGTTCTGATTTACATCTATAGAGATGCCAGGTTGAAGCATTTTTTTGATCTTCAAGGCTATGCTGGCTGTTTCCGAGAATTTTCTCATAAAGTTCTAATGTTTTGAGAAATTTGCCATGCCTAAAACATTCACGTACTTCTTTTCTCAAATTCTGAAGAATACTATTATCCTGCTCTAAGAGGTATGAATTTATCATATCAGGTAAATAAAGTGGAGATGATGTCGTAATTTCAAGTGAATTAACAAGTTTATTTATATTATTTTGACAACTTGAGGAAATTTCGCTATTTTGAATTGATGTTTTAATAGGGTAATGTTGACTCAAAGTTTCATTATGGATAAGTTGTTTTAGAGTATTAAGAATTAAACTTGTTTCTGGGCGATTAGCAGGATCTTTATCCCAACATTGTTTGTAAAGTTCAATATATTGAGATGGTGTACCTTCTATAGGCTCTTCTCTATCTCCCCTGGAAATATGAACAGCAAGCGTAAGTGCAGATTCAATTGACGGGAATGGAGATCTTCCGCTTGAAATTTCCCAAAGAATTACTCCAAAGCTATAGACGTCAGATTTTTTATTACGTTTATATTTGTGATCAATAAAGCACATAGGTTCTATATATGCTGGCATCCATGAGCAATTGAGTTTGAAGTTATTGACATCTCATTTATTTGTTTTGATAGTCCAAAATCAGCAATCTTTGGTTGTCTTTGATGAATTAAGATATTCTTCGAATGCTAAGGTTTATATATTAGAACGATAGTTGTTGTAGTTAAATTATATAACAATATAATAGATAAAAATAATATACTTACAAGATCTCTATGAATAATGTTATTATTGTGTAAGAACAAAAGACCAAATACTATTTCTTTAGATATATACAATTTATCAGTCCATTGTAATTTTGTGAAATTTGCATTTAGGTAATCTCGTAAATTTCCGTCATTAGCATATTATAATATCCATTATTATCTATTTTATTTATGATAAATATTATTAGCTATATATGATTAAATAATGATTGATTTATTTAGAAATAATAAACAGTAAGTATACCTTTTGCTATCCCATAGAATTTAATAATATTAGGATGGTAATCAACTTTTCGCAATAACTTAAGCTTTATTACATATTATAGAAGTTTAATATTACCAAGTAATTAATTCAAGTCTTAATATACAGCAATAAATACCTCATTAACAAAATTTTTAATAAATTTTTCATCTAAATTTATATCGGTATCGACTTTAAGACATTTGAGCGCAACGGTTAATTCACATTCTTTCCATTCGTATTTAAAAACCTTTCCAAAACCTCCAATACCAATCACTATGGGGTCAGTAAATTTTTTATATTCGAGATAATTAATATGTCCATCGGAAATAGCTTTTTCAAGCCATTCTTTTGTTATGTTTGTCATTTCGTACTTTTGTAAATACCAATCTTGTCGGGGAAATACGAAGTGTAAGTGTGTAACGTACGCATGTACATCTTATAAATACCTACTACATGGTACAGAATTTTAATCCTACCAAATATAAGTTTTGTCACATTTGGCATAATTATCGAGTGTAGTCGAAATCATATAATAGCCGAAATAATTGCGATAATGTTTAAATTTTATTACAATATTTTTTCATATATAGTCTTGTATATTGTATTTTGTTCTAAATCAGTTAAGTTGCAATGCAATTATAATTTAACTTTGGTGACAAGACCAATTATAGTTTATTACTAAAACTCGTTTTATGACAGTCTATTATAGAATAATTGAATCTTAAAAACATCTTTTTTAAGTCGAAATTTCTGGATATGTTCAAAAATAAATCTTAAGGTTTGAAAATGAAGGGTGTTCTCAAGCGCCTTAATCAATTGGTCAAAAGCTGTCGAGAAATAATTTTACTTAGCGGAAATATTTTAATCGGGTTTATCATCTATAATGGTATTTAAATAATAATCACAACTTAATAAAGCTTACTACTTAACTCAAAATTTTTTTAGTAAAATAAATATTAAGTGAGTTTGTCATTTCAATTTGGGTTCTACCACAAATTCCGAAAACCATTTCATATGGGCAGAAATATTCATTTTTGTGATTAGATAAATTGAATGATGCGATTACATAGAATTTGAGCCAATAATTTATATGATATAATGTGATTACTAAGTAAAGCTGTTACCCGGGTTGGCTTGACCCGTACGGGTCAGAATTTTTGACGGGTCAAAAATTGGGTTGACCCGGGTCAAACGGGTCATTTAAATGGACAGATAGATTGCGATAACCGGGTTTTTCCGATGTAGAAAATGAAAGAACTCTAATTACGAGCAA